TATTATAGTGAGAAGGGCAAAGACCTGAGTTGGAATCCCAAAAGAGAAGAACATGCATAGCATTTCTCAGGTTGAAAGAATAGGGGTGAAAAAGATCAAGCCTTGAGTTGCACCGAATGCCCTGATTGTATAATGGGTTGGAATTGGACTGCTAACAAGGTCTATAGTTCAAATCCCCCAGCCACTCTGCAGGAGAAAGATTAGGTTTTCTGCTCCTGTAAACATTTACAGCCTCCGAAACCCACAGCGGTAAGTTATACTCTCTCCAAAGGGTCACCATGAGTCAGAGTCGATTCAATGGTAGTGAGTTTGGGCAGGGAGATGGGCAAAATATTGAGTGATACAGGAAGCTTAAAAAGAAGATAGAACGGATATTTAGATTAACTATACCCCCAAAATTGGTTGATGTTCACCTATTTAAGGAGGTAGCTTATGATCAAGAACCAATGGGATTGAAGACAAAATCTAAATTGCATTGAAGGCAAGAAAGAAATTTAAAACAAACCAAACAAACCCAAAACTCCAGAAGTTGATGAAATACTGGTAATTGTTTCAACAAACTAACATCGCCCTGGAGTTGCTCACTCAGCTACGCCACCTACCTGATCGATTGACTGGAATGTATACTTGTACCCATTTCAAAGTGAGCTGACCCCACAGAACACGGACAGTGTTGAACAATGTAACTGACATCACATAAAAGTAAAATTTTACTGAAGATAATTTTAAATTATCTTTAAAGTGTTACAAAGCAAAAATGTCACTTTGAACACTGAGGCGAGTTTGACCCAAGCCATAGTGTTTTCGTTTGCCTCATATACATGCCAACGCTGAACATTGAATAAGAAAGATCAACGAAGAATTGATGCATTTGAATGACGGTGTTAGTAAAGCGTATTTAACACACCAGGGATTTCCAGAAGAATAAACGGATCTGTCTTGGAGAGGTGTAGCTAGAATACTTTCTTGTGATCTATATACCCATCTTTATAAATATATATATATATATCTAAAATCATCAGCAATCTGGTTTTATCTCTCTAGAGAACCCTGTCTAACCCAATACTCTTGAGAAGGGAGGATGACGAGGCTTTGTCTCACATAGTCTGTATGCGTTTCTAGAGGAACCACACCTTGGAGAAGGCCACCATGCTTGTAAAACTAGAGGGCTAGTGGAAGAGGAAGCTCCTCAATGAAATGGATCGACGCGAGGGGCTCAAAACACAACACCTATGGTGATGAAGTTGTGTCAGGACTGGGCAGTGAGCAGTTCTGTTGTACACAGGGTCACCATGAGTCAGAATCAACTTGATGGCACCTAATAAGTGTCATTAAGAGGGTCATTCATTGCCATGGCCTTACTAATCCACCCACTAAGCCCAATGTGTGATCCGAGGCATTTTTCCTGGGGACATTTTTAAATTATATGTTTGTGGGTGACACAAACCTTTTGCTTTTGACTACTAATGGAAAGGTTGGCATTTTGAATTCACACAACAAAGTCATGGCAGGAAGGCCTGGTGATCTACTTCCAAACAGAATAGTCATGAAAGCCCGGGGAGTTCCGCTCCGTTCTGCACCACAGGGAATCAGCATGAGTTAGGGTCAACACAAAGTCAAAGATTGCATTTTGTTTCAGTGACTCTCCTCAGTGACCTGCAAGTTCATTTCCTTATGAAATCCATAGTGAGTGTTCTTCAAATCGAGGTATACCTGATTTCTTCTGTTCTTCAAATCAAGGTCCACTCTGACTCTCCTGAGTCAGAGTAGAAACCAGACACGTACAAATAGGAACTGCCTCTTATCAACAGGCTCTTTTCCCTCCGGGACATCTTCATCATGTTACCCAGCGCACCCTCATTCATATAAGGGCACTGCTACAAAATCATAACAACCTTTATTAAACAGAAATATTAAAGTACGATATTTTTGTTTCTCAATATAGCCTTCACCTTGGTCTATGCAGTTCTGAAGGCAGTATTAGTAGCTCTCTAATCCTTCACTTCTTTTTACACTGTATCACAATACCGTACTGGCATCCTCCAGGGACTCAAACTGTGTTCTTTGAGTTAGGGTAACAAACAAAGTTCAAAAGGGCAATATCAGGGTTGAAGAGCGGATAAGGAAAAGAGGTAATGTTTTCCAACAAAATTATCATAGTACAGGCCTTGCTTGTTACCTTGAAGAATGAGCAGAATACATTGGTTCAACTCTCCTACACTTTTTCTCACCAATGAAGTTATTTATTTTCTCAAAACTTCTTCATAATACTCTCCTTTGATTGTCTTGTATGCTTCAATAAAATCTACCAATATTAGTTCTTTGAAATCTAAACTATAGTTGCCATACATATTTGATCTGATATCTCTGCCTTGAATTTAACTGGTCCAACAGATCTCCTCAGAAGCTGCTCTCTTGATTGTACTTTGTTTTCCAGATCAAAAAAGCCTGGCCAATCTAAGACTTGTTCCTAATTATGCTTAGTTGCATAAAATAATCTCCATTATGGAAAGATCAGCTTTTTTGAGCTTGCTAATCTTTGGACAATACTTTTAGTACCTATCTACTGAAATCTTGCTAAGGCTAACAGGTTCACTTCAAATGAAAAATGCTGCACCTTATGATATCCAAACAGCAATAGCATCACAGCAGTGAAAACTCTGTGGTCTTCTTCTTCCACTGGTGTCTGCGTTTCAGCTACAGGGTGTTCATCTGTCAAGGTTGATAACCTTTCCTCTCTTGGTTCATCTCTGAGGTCTTTCCAACCTTCCTTAAAATGTAATGTCCATCAAAAATGGTGGCTCTATATTAAGAAATAACAATGATGTGTGACACTCCTCATGATATGGATGACCCTTGAGAACATTATGCAGCTTGAAAATAGCCACACACAAAAGGATAAATACTCTATGAGACCACTATTACTAGGAAAATAAATCAAGAAAAGGTGTTCACTTTAAAAGAAACAGATTGTGATGGCTACCAGTAATGAGAAGGGAATAGAGGGAAGAAGAAGGCACAGGCTAGAGTTTAGACAGATGTTATTGGGTGAAAGAGAAAACATTATTCCCAGGAAAGAGATAGGCGGAAATGATGGAAACAGCATACGACATTGGGAGGTTTGATGAGTTGTTGAATATAAAACTGATGATCTGCGATGTCAGCCTTTACCTAATTCACAATAAAAAGGTTTTTTTTTAATTGATCGCTTTATGTGTTGCAGCATTGCTATAAACCTGTTGCAAAGACCGAAAGATTCAAGAAGATATTCACTTGAATTTTCTTTTTAAAATTTGGATTACTTCTGACTCAAAATCTTTTTTGTTTCACAGCACAAAAAGTATCCCCCTACTTTTTTTAATGCACCCTTATTAAACTCAGTAAATTTATTACTGAGAAAACTTGCTACAGCCATCCAGTGATCACAGAGACAGACATGTTTGGATTGGAATTACTCAAACTAACCACCATCGAGTCAACTGGGACTTCAGGAGAGAACTGCCCTTTGGGGTTTCTGATACTTAAGTCTGTACAAGAATACGCAGCCTCATCTTCCTCTCCATAACTAGCTGGTGGGTTTGAACCATGGCCTTTGCTGTAAGCAGTTCAGTGAGTAGCCTACTACACCACCAAGGCTATACCTGTGCACGTGTGAACAGGAGCCCTCGTAGTAATCTTTGTTCAACCTATCTTCTTGGAGGCTCTATGTTGGTTTGTTTGTTTTGGTTGTTATTGTTTCCTTTCCATAATTTCTACACCAGTGTTTTCTAAAGCTCCAAATTAAAAAAAAAACAAAAAACATTTATTCTTGCCTAAAACAACCTCCAAATAATGCTTTAGATGCTAATTCATGAAAAAGTAGAGTCAAGCGCACAGGAAATATCTTTAGAAAGCTCTTCTGTGCAGAAGCTTACATGTAATATTCTCTTGGAGCTTTAATTCAATGTAAGCTTTCTTAATTTGAATAATGAGTGGATATAATCATTAACCATGACCTTTGATTTTAACTCCTTGGATTCTTCTCCATTCTTAATATTATTAAAAATCATCTTTAAACCACTAGCCTCTCTTCATTTGGTTCCACAATATGGGATAGTTATAGTCTTGGGGTTTTTACATCAGTGCACACTCCTACTAACAGATAATTTAAAGGAAATAAGGGCCATGGTAAATGGCCTTGGACATGGCCAAGTTGCTGTCCAGTACTCCTGACCTGATCGCCCTGATCTATCATTGCCCCTTCATAAACTTAGATACTGTCTTGGCCAGGGGAGGGATGTAAAAGGGAAGGACTGATTTTAAATGTAAAATAGCAGAGAAAACAGAATTGAGTTCATAGCAAGTAGCTCTTGATCCATTGAGTCTGCCATTTTTTATTTTGTTTAATGACAATTTCCTCAGTGAATTTTTGACTCTTAAGTGTTAACTATTGCTAATAACTCTACATTTTGCATCAAAGTCAGAGTTCAGTATATGATCACATCTTCTTTAAAATACATCTGTATCACACTTCAATTTCTTTTATGCAAGGCAATTTAAACTTAAAATACAGTTCTGCTTTTATACATTAATGGTTTGTTTGAGTTAATATTTTATTTTTCTTAACACCAGAAGCTATATGTCCTTCCTCACCACATTAGGGAGCACACTCCTGTTCTTGGGCTGATAGTCTGTGCTCCTCTTTGTCCTGAGAAGAAGGATACTCCTGTTCTTGGGCTGATAGTCTGTGCTCCTCTTTGTCCTGAGAAGAAGGATATTCCTGTTCTTGGGCTGATAGTCTGTGCTCCTCTTTGTCCTGAGAAGACTGGAGATGGGAATGGCAGTGCAGGTGCCAACGGCGGTCTCGGGAACTCCACGTAGATGCTTCCTTCTTACCGGGAACAGTATCCCTTCCACATCTCACCTGGCCAATCCATGTATTTGCTTAGAAAAGCAGACACTACTTGTTACTGATGGTGTGCATCTCTAGTGACCAATAAATGTCTGTATATTTTTTCCAGGAGAAATTTGAAACTGAATTGAAGTATAAAATGACAATTGATGGGAAAATTGCAGTGCTTTATTTGAAAAAAACCAAGTGAGTTTTTTTTTTAATTCTCCAAGTTAGTAAGTGGAGCATATATGAATTGGGTCTGTTACCATGCATGGCTCTTCCAAATTGTGGCTAATACGCTTTTGCTCCCAACTATCCCATATGGTACAGTGAATACTTGTTTCTCCTGAAATAGTGGAAACACACGATTTAACACCATAAACTAGTTGCAAACAGATACACAAGTTATTCACTTCTAAAGCACATCAGATACAAAGGTATAAGTGAACTTCACACTGAGTTTTCATTTTTCATTTCCCTACCTTGCATTTTATTTTTCCAACATTGAAAAAATAGAGATTAAAATCCCAAGCAAGTAGGAAAGAACAAGAAATATATAAATTAAATAAAAAACTAGAATCAAATGACAAGTGTGTGGCAAAACAAAAATTGGACTTTCCTGTCCACTAGTGGTGTGGGCACTCTTTTGACTAAATGACCCAGCTTCCCACTGATTCTCTTTATTCATTCTCACTCGGTGCGATACAGTGTGCTTTGCTTACTGAGTGCAGCTGTAGCAGAAACCCCACAAAGTCAAGGTGGCACTTCCAGAGTTAGGCTTCCTCTCTGTGCCGACTCTGGGAGCAGGTCCTGGTCTGTTTTGACCTTCTGCTCCTGCGTGATCATCATATAGCTTGGCCTCTCTCTGTCTCCATCTCTGCCTTCCACTATCTGCCAAAGGAGCTTGGTTTCTGCATCAAATGTGACCTGCTTCAGATACACCACACACTGATCTGGCCTCACTCACAAAGTGAAGAAAACCCTATTCCCAGTGAGACTGCAGGCACCAGCATACCCACTGCGTGGAGCCCACTGCAACTCATAGTCCCCCTACATGTCATTTCTGAAACTGTACATCTTTCTGAGAACAGGCACCTCATCTTTCTCTGGGGAAGAAGCTTGTAGGCTGTGCTGCCAGCCTTTTGGTTAGCGGTCCAAAGCTGAACCCACTGTGCCACACGTATAGGGAGTGAGGGATTACAGCACATATGTTGAGAGGGGAGGCACAATTCACTCCGTAACACAGTTCCTGCTGATTACAATCCTGCTTTTTCAATATTTCAAAAGAATTTCCCTTCTTTCCATGCTTCCAATGTCTTCTAATCCCTAATTTGTTCCCTAAAGGACAGCAAGATTTTTCTCCCCAAATAGACAAAGAATTGCAACTGATAGGAATTAGGAAAAGTCTGGTAGTATAATCGAAATAGTATCCGCTTTGGGTTCAGGCAGATGTGAATATGATTCTTTGCCATGTAAATCCTATAATCTCAATTGAGAAATAGGGAGGCCAATATTTCTTGTAAGATTGTTGTATTAAATTAAATTATGCATGTAATGTTTTTAACCCAGAGTCTAACATAGGAATGAAAATCAATATAAACCAGTGGTTTTCTGTTCTACTTTATTTCCTCCTCTTTTAAAAATATGTTCCAACTCTTGATTTCTAATGGGTCATTGCAGTAACTTTAAAAAAATTCAGTGAAAATGTTGAATATGATACTTTTTAGTATTTTATTGGACTTCTGGAATTACCAGTAGGAGGAAAGAGATATTATTTCATGTTACTCAAGAATATTCTTGTCCCTCAATCTTTCAATATTAAGCATTCTTTTCACGTTGGCATTTGTCTTGCAAGTAAGGAGAAGTGCTCAGAAGTTAAAGCATCTATGCCTATCCAGTGACAGCTTATGCTTACGTTATGGACTTTGTATTTAGCAGCAGTAATCATATTTTGTTCTGTTTTTTGTCCCCTCCAGGGATCTCCTTTCACCAAATTATACAGAAACACATTATAATTCCACGGGAATGGAGGTCACCACCAGCCCGCAGATAATGGTATAAGTGTTTCCTAGTGTGTTAGTCTGGGTACTTTAGAGAAACAAATCCACAGAAATTCATATGTATAAGAGAGAGTTTTATATAAAAGGTAAGTACACATCAAGAAAACATCCAAACCCAGTGCTGCCCAAGCCCACAAGTCCAACATTAACCCACATGTCTGACACCAATCCACGAAGTCCTCCTCCATCTCACAAAACACACATTGTGACGCGTACTGTAGGACGAAGCCGAATCAGTGACTGTGTAAGCATCTAGGCTGCTCCAGCCCCCAGGGTTGCTTCGGGGTAGGTCTAGCAGCTTCTCCTCAGGGATGTCTTGCAGGAAGTGAGCCATGCAAGCTGAAGCAGGGAACTGCTAAGGCAGCTGCACCCTGGTGTGACCATCACAAAGCAAGAGGCCTGAGAACTAGAAAGGCGAGGCTCACTGAGCCATTTATTCCTCCACCCTTCAATTAACCCCACATGTGTTTATTGGGCAGGTTGGCACAATAAACAAAATACCTCACCTAGATTAATTACTAATTAGGGTGTGACTCACAGACCCTAAGACAGCATCATTGACAGCCATTGAATTTATGGTCCTGGTGCTCTTTTTAGCAGTTGTTATTATTAATTGCCCCCCAAGTTTTTTCATAAAGGCTTGGTGGAGAAAAAAGAGTCTTCCTTGACAACTGCGGTAATCCTCCCCAGTCTTCCAGGGTCTCTGTTGAAGAACAGGTAGAAGAAGAAACTGGTTTATTACTTAAGTGAAGAGTGAAGCACTTCTGGGATTCTTACTCAATGTCAATCACCAGTCTGAGTACGTCGGTCCAAAAACTCAAAATGACTTCCTCAGTTCTAGGATTATAGAATTCCACGTTCGGCTCTTTCATGGGCAGTGGCAGGGGGCCTCCTTGTACAAACTAAGCAGATGGTAGCATGTGAGGTATAGTGTATCATTGCCTTTTAGGAGATTAATTCTCAACTGGAAGCCTTTCAAGAACTGTCTTCTATCAAAATGATGCCAACCTTTATATGGGCCCACTCCCCATGTGTCCCACAGTAGAAAGAGGTCCTGAATGAAAGCCCATAGGTAAAAGTATTAGGATGGCCATCTGCCCCCAATTGAGGCAGGGATGTTGTAGTAATCTAGTGACTGGTGGAATTCTTTGGAGAAATCAAGACATGAAAGCACAACCAGAGTAATCCAAGCACAGAGGAGGATGGTAGGTTGTTGTTACAATACAATTTTATGAAAGAATGTCTGATGTTTGGGAAATACAAGGTCTAAATGCTACATGTAAGTTTGTTTCTTCCAAACAATATTTACTTCTTTTATCCTACTTTGACAACAGTTTGGCATTACTTCCTAGCATTTTGAGGTCATTGACTAAAGATGGAATTTTTTTTTTACCATAAAAAAAGCTATTTTTTAAATATTCTCATGGTCAGTTGTTTAAATGAATTATAAAGCCTGTTTCAAGATTTCAAATTCAAACTTAGCTGCGGGACTAACACACACATACACACAATTCCCTTTATTAATCTGTTTTCCCTTTTAATTAGGATGACTGTTATTACCAAGGATACATCAGTAATGAAATCATTTCCGACGCCAGCATCAGCACATGTCGGGGTTTAAGGTAAGATTTTGTGGATATTTCATATTTACCTGTGATAATACCTGTGCTTTTTTACCCCAAGAGAATTTTAAAAATTGCTGTAGTCTAATGTGAAGCCTAAGGGCTTGGCATATATGAAATTTGAAGGATAAAAGATTTTTCTTGGTAACTTTTTCCCCCGGTGATTTGTTTGATTTTTAAGATATAGGTTTTAGTCCTAATATTGGAGTCAGGACATTTGGAAACTTGATCTTCCAAATGCTTGATGCCCTCCAGCTCTCCTGACCCTTCATGTTTTTCTAGCTTTCCCCAGTCAAACGTAGGACATCCATTTCATTCTGTAGGTCAATAGCTCCATGTAGCTATCTGTACCATATTTATTCTGAAACCCCAACTCGATTAATCATATTTTATCTTCCCAGATGTTCAGTTGGGTAATTTAAACAAATTTTAGTTTCAATTTGCATTTTTCCAATGTTCCCTTCCACAATAAGTGGTCATCCAATCACTTCTCCAATGCCCCAATATAGGTTCCTTTGTTATTTCTAGCCTCTCAACTCCCTATGTTCAATAATTATCAAGCTCAATGGATCATCTGGAGTCCCTGAGTGCACAATGGTTCAGTACTGAGCTACTATTGAAAGGGCGATGGTTTGAATCCTCGCTGAGGCGCATCAGAACCAAGTCTGGTGATCTGTTTCCGAAAGGTCACAACCGCGAAAATCCTTTGAGCAGTTTGACTGCACACAGGGTCGCCATGAGGTTGGAATGAACTTGATGGCAACCAGTTTTGCATTTCTTTTTATTGGTAATTTCATTTAAATATTTCCTGAGATATGGCACTGCTTTCTGACTCTATTGCCACATTATATTCCAAACCACCATGGAACTTTATGTCTATCACTATAATAAATCACTACATTTTTTGTCCAGATTCCCTGTTACTGTGTTCTAATTTATGTACAATAAATCCACTCTCTTATAATATCCTCTTAGAGAACTTTGTGCTTTTTCTTTGTAGCAACAATTCACTACTAACTTTTTATTTATACCCATCTTACTCATTTGAATATAAACTCCATGAGGGGGTAGACTGTGACCCTTTTTTACCACTTCCTCTTAGTCCCCTGCCTTATGAATCATAAGTAGTCCATAAATACATAAATTGATCACGTCTTTTACATGTTATTTCCTTCAATCCTTACAGTCACTTAATTAGACAAGTAGCATCATTCCGATTTTATAGATGGTGAAACAGAGGATATGGGAGTGTAAGTGTAATAGATCTAGGATTTGAATACTTACCTATATGATTCCAAAATATTAGTCATTCATAGGATATTTTAAAAACAGATATAGCAAGGAAATTGGATGAATACTAGATTGAGAATGAAACAATGTCCATTCAAATGTCAGCCTTGTCATGGGTCCACTATATGGCATTGCAGTAGGCACTTCACTGCCACAAGGTCTCATTTCTTCATGGAAGTGGCATTGAGTCCGTTCCCATCTATAGCAACCAGACCAATCACTGCCTGACCCTATGCCAGCTTCACAGTCATTGCTTAGTTGAGCCCATTGTTGCCGCCACTGTGTCAATCTTTCTGCATGAGAGTCTTCCTATTTTTTACTGACCCTCTACCAAGGATGATGTCATTCTCCGGGGTCTGATCCCTCCAAGAACATGTACAAAGTCCACGAGACAAGGTATCCCCATCCTTCTGTCTAGGTCTAGGGAGTAGTCTGACTGTACTTCTTCCAACGCATATTTGTTAATTCTTCTGGTAACCCATTCAATATTCTTCACCAGTATCACAATTCAAATATATCAATTCTTTTCCAGTTTTCCTGATTTATTATCCAGCTTTCATGCATATGTGGTGACTGGAAAAATCATAGCTAAGGCCAGGCATACCTTCATTTACAAAGTGACACCTTTGCTTTTTCACACTTTAAAGAGATCTTTTGCAGCTGATTCCCCCAATATAATATATATTTGATTTCTTGAATGCTGTTTCCATGGATATTGCCTATGGAACCCAATACAATTAAATCCTTGATAACTTTAATCTTCATAGAAAAAATATTGTATGTTCTCTCTAAGGATAACTTGAACTATAAGGTTACGTTTCAGTTTCTTACTTCTAGTTTACAAGATTGAACGGTTTGAGGTACTTGCTAGACATTGTATTAGGTGTTTGTTTTTTTCTTTTAGTCTGTTGAGTCTATAAATCTTAACTTTGGAATGCTTTGATAAGAATTTTAAATTATCTTTTTTCAGAGGCTACTTCAGTCATGGAGATCAGAGGTACTTCATTGAACCTTTAAGTCCCACAGATCAGGTGGAACAAGCACATGCACTCTTTAAGCATGACCCTCGTAAAATGAAGGTTAACGGTACCTGTGAGATGGATGATGTGATTTGGGCACATAGAAACCCACCTGCCACCAGTCTGTTTGTATGTTTATCTATTTTTTTTCTTTTAAAATGCTGTTATGTACTGTCCTGGCTGCCTTTAGCCCCTGAAATTGACAGAAACGTTACAGTAATAATTAAAACTAATAGGGCATAGAGACGCAAATCATAAAACCTTTGGATAAAATGAATTATTTACTTAGTATTTAAGGTAAATACTTAAGGCTCAAATATAATGATCAATACTGTGCAGGGTTAAAAAGAATGATAACAGCCCTCAAAGAACAGGTGATGTTCACAATTCCTTCTGTCACTTCCAGGAAACCACTGGCATGTAAAGTGCTATGTTCGTTGTAAGATAAAATGTTTTACTATCCTGAACTCGTTCAACACATTTCTCTTACAGTACTGACTGCCATGGGGCGGGGTACCACAGGGAGCCAAATGAGCACAGTATCTGCCCACAAGAACTTAGAATATTCCTTCCGCTACCGAAGAAAAATAAAGAGGAGTTTGGTTTTTAGACAGCAAGCTCTATGCTAAAGTATTTTTTGTCCCTCTTCCTTTCACTGCCTTTACAATCCACGTCAAACCCAGCCACCTCTTGCCAATGTTCTCAGTGTACATAAGCACTGGACTGAGCTGATCTACATGAACATTCTGGTATGTCAATTTGCAGCTAGGTTTCAACTCTCTCGTTGATATCTGAGAACTCCAGAGAACCATTCCCAGCTACGAGTTTTCCAGACTCCTGTGAATGAAGACCTCCGGAGTGGCCTTCTGTTGAGCCCTGGGAACTTTGACATAATTCTCCTCTAACCATGTTAATATAATCTTGTCTTCATGACATTTTTTTTCTCTACATCCCCGATTCTACCCCTTTTCAGTTTTCCTTTTGTGTGCATTCTTCCTCTGGGTGACCAAAAAGCTTTATGCAAAATTACTTTCCATGCTCATTTCTATATTCCTAGGAAGTAGTCATATCCTGCCCTATATCTCTTAATATATAGATTTGTCAGTTGCTGTCAGATCAGCTCTGACCACTGGCAAACCCCTATGCAGGGCAGAAGTAGACGCTGCCTGGCTGTGAACTTTATCATCATATCAAGTAATGTTGTTTGGGGAACCTTAGAGGTTTCGTGGGTTCATTTTCAGAAGTAGAGCACTAGACCTTCCTTCCGACCTTGAAATCTCTACTCAACCCTGAGATCCACCGGCTGGTTTGTGAAATACGAATGTTATGGCTTCTTACAGCATTATAGCAGGATGAAAACCACCCTAATATAATATTTGACAGACTGGACATGCTATATATACCTTTGCTGTTAGCGCCTATTTGTTGACCTTGCTCATGGGTTTTCATTGGCTAATATTCTTGGAAGTACAGAGACAGACTTTCTTCCTTCTTTGCTAAGTATGGAAGTTCCACTAAACTTATTCAACATCACAGTGACACGAAGTCCGTAGTGACACAGACAAATGGTGCTGCATTTGAGATGCATTGATCAGGAATCAAATCAAATTCTCCAGCATGAAAGATGAGAACTTTGCTACGGAGCTACCATGCCAATCTCAATGATTATTAGCGAAATAGATATTATGTACTAATCGGTGCCCCTGGGGAATAATAGTAGTTGACACACTTAGCTGTTAACCCAAAGCTTCAAGTCCACACAGACCTCAAAATATAGTACTGAAAACTCAACCACTGAAGACCACATAGAGAGCATCGTTCTACTCTGACAAACACAGAATCCTGTAAGTTGATGTCAACTTGTCAGTAACTTTAAAAAAAATGTGATCATTACCATCAGAAGTAGCCCCGATATTAATGATAAGAATACCCAGTAGCACTATGCATTTGATTTTGAATTGCTAACCATTGAATTATTGCCAATAACTCAAACCCATCAATCACCCCACCTGGAAAAGATGAGGTTCTTTGTAATTGTAAAGATTTACAAGGTATATTGTAAACTTATATGTCTATTGAAACTGTATTTAGGTTCCTTTGAGTTAGAATCAATTTTGTGGTAGTGGCTTTGGTACGGTAATTACTTTCAGATGTATATCTCCTACCTTGGTCACTCCTCTAAAAGCCCAGCTGTTATTATTATCTCCTTGGTGTATACAAATGAATGGATAATATGACAAACTTGGTGTGTGCCCTCTAGTATAACTGCCCCATAGGGCTTTCTAGGCTGAAATCTTTACTGAGGCACAGCACTATGTCTTTTCTCCCTAGGAGTGGTGGTTGGATTCACACTACTGACCTATCAATTAGCAGCCTAGCCCTTAGCCCTTGTACCACCATAGCTCCTTACCATAAACTTGGTCAGAATAGAACCACTGAATTCAAAACATCAAGTAAAACACTTCTCTCTCATTCTCCCTGGTTAAGAATATCGTTATTCACCATTTGTTCAGTTCAGTTAAAGACATTATCTTTGATTTTTCTTCATCTTTCCTGATCCATGATACAATCCACATGTGCACCAGATCTGAATGGCATAGTAGGTTCAAAGTTAAAGGTTCTAACCACAAGCTCAGCAATTTGAAACCATCGTCTCTGCTTCATGGGAGAAGGAGGAAGTTTTCAAGGGCAGTTCTACTCTGGCTTACAGTGTCATGATTAGACGGGATAACTTGAAGGCAAGACACCATCTATCTTACAATAATCACAACGAAGGCCTCTATTGGATCCTTCCTTTCCCGTTCCATTCTCTCAACACAATAGAATCTGCTCCTCATATAATAGGGCATACTTATATTATTTCAAATAGCATCATGTCACGATTCTTTTTAAGAGTATTTAGTAGCTTTTCATCGCATTTAAGATAAAGTTGAAATAACCCTGGTCTAACATCTCTTACGTTAAGGTCTTGCCTACCTCTCTACTGTCCTCTACCTTGAACGCCTCACCCATGCCTCACCTTCCCTTTAGTCGCCACCAAACACAAGCTTTTCACCAAATATGCCAATGTCAGTTCACCTTAGAGCCTTTTTTGCTATATAAAATAGTTTTATTTACTGAAATTAGCTTTCAATTTGTCTTCCCATATCTGACTTCTCATTGTCATTACTATAATTAAGGGTAAATACTTTGGAGAATTTGTTCTTAGCTCTCTATCCCAGTGGCTCTCAACCTTCCTAATGCTGCAACCCTTTAATACAGGTCCTCATGTGGTGGTGACCCCCAAACATAACATTATTTTTGTTGCTACTCATGACTGTAATTTTGCTACTGTTATGAATCAGACGATTTCTGTAAAAGAGTCATTTGGCCCCCCCAAAGGGGTCATGACCCACAGGTTGAGAACCACTGATCCATCCTAAAATAACTATGAAACCACTCCATATAATATTATTACCTCTTTTAATATTTTGCAAGATACTTAATTACGATATGCTATTTCTACATTTGTTTGCTTTTCATGAGCCTGAAGCACCTGACCCATGTCTATTTCATTGCTGTATTCCTAGTGCCCAGAGCCATGTAGAGGCCTGCTAAGTAACGCCAACCTTTTGCTCCTGGGAAGAAAGAGTGTGTGTTGGGGAGAAGGGATAAGTAAGCCCACCCCTCACTGGTAAACCTCTTTAGGTTCCAAAGACCAGATTTCTGTGCCATGAGTGAAACAGAGGTTGATAGACTCTGACCATTAAGTGAAAGATTACATGGCATAACTGCCAAATTGTGTCATTATATTACTTTAAACCCCATGAGGACCCACTAAAGCTGACACAGAACCTTAACCATCAGCGCCTGCACTACTCTCGCCTATATCCTGACATTTGTTACTGTCACCCACAGGTCTTTAAAGGGACAAATAGTTGGGTTAGTCCATTTTCCCCAATTGCTAACAATGTCAAATGTCAGATAATAAGGTCGCTGATAATGAAGACTACATGTATGACGTTCCCCAGGTAAAACCTGAAATTCTAGCTCCAGTCGTTTCTCAGATGACTTTCACTGCAACAGGTAAAGCTTGTGGACATGCTACATAATACATTTTCATGTTTTATTGTTTACTGTAAGTTATAAAATAAATAATAGTCAGTTGATGCTTTTCATGACTAATGCATTATAATTTCTTAATAATTATTTTAGGAAGAGAAATTTAAATACATTATTTCAGAATGTAGGAAAGATTCAGGGTTATCTAAGGAGAATAAAACAGATGAGTTTCCTGGGTGGCTTTGGAATTGCACTATTGCAAAGGAGTCTATATTCACCAAGACGGGAATAAAACGTTACTAAAAAGACAACAAGGAGGAAAATGTGGAAGCTCTAGTTTCTCTGTCTTAGAAGGATTACCAGGAAAATGTACTGTTGAACAAATCGGAAAACTAGTGTTAGCTTCACCTCTCCTAGGAGAACAGTTGTAAAACCTCTTAACTCTGGTCAATTAAACGTTTCCAGTTAGAGTATCATGAACATCCCTTCTAGTTCTAACATGCTGAATCTTGTCTACAGATAATCAACCCTAAACTCTTGAGTTCATGTTAAAAGGGGAATATTGCTTCCTAGGTCTCAGTAAACCACTTATAAAATTACACATTCCAAATAAACAGGTTATTCTTGCTCAGAAAAATGCTGTCTTTGTAATTTTACTCTTTATATTTCAGAGATTTAATGACCAGATGGTTCCAAAACATAAGAAATTCATAGAATATTATCTGGTCCTGGATAATGGTGAGGTAATTACATATATTTATATAAATTTATAGGTTATATATTAAATAAAATGTCTTTTAAAACACCATCTATACAAATTTATTTATTATGTGCAATCATAAAGATTCTGAATTTATTTTGAAAAATCATGAATTTTAGCTATAGTTGAAAAGTTTCTGAACCTATAAAGTTTGATTATATAATAAACTAACATTATTTTGATCTCTCAAATGTACGTACTTGCTATGAAATGTATAAACTTAATTTGTTGGCAACATGAGGATCTTAACTTATTGCTTTAAAGGCTCCAAACTTAGTTTCTAGTTAAATCCCTTTATCTTCCACCAAATAGTTAAATCATTTTTACATTAGAAGTTATGCAAATGAGAGTGGTAAATAGAAAAGACTAGATAAAATTGTCTTTACAAAAGCAAATATTGTGAATTTTCACTTTTTTTCTTCTTTTACAAGGATAATCAGACTCATGCTAACAAGTCAATTCTGAGTGACAAAATAGAATTGTCTCAGGGTTCCCAAGGCTGCCATCTTTATGGAAGTACAATGCCACATTTTTCTCCTGTGGAGTAGCTGGCGGGACCCAAATCCAGACCATAGGGCTGGCAGTGTAGGGCTGTTTTAAACCAGTGAGCCATGGAAGTTCCATGTTCATATGTTGGGTTGATAAAAGAATCTCCCACATCTGTGATCTTCAAGGGAAGAATCTTGAGAGACCAAAATGTGAGCAAACCTAGGGCTTCAGCTTCCAAATGTTTGGCTTCTCTGTTGAACTCAGTTCACTGATTTTTTTGAAAATAAATAAACTATTCCTCGATTTGATTCTGTATGGCTTAATTAATCATAGTATATAGCTCAAAACATCTTTAAAATAATTCCTGCGAGACTTACATTAGTACTTAATGTAAGTAACGTAAGTAACTAAACTTCAGTAACGTAAATTAAATTGCATTTGTACTTAAAATAAAACATCTCAATGCCAAAGTACGTTGACATAGCTAATGGATAAAGGAATATTGTTTTGTTATATCTTAACAGAGTTATTGATAAGTATGGTTTCCTTTAGCATTTTTTCTATTAATTTCTATTAATCCTCATGTTTTTTCTTGATTCATTTTTAGTTTAAGAAGTACAATAAAAATCCAGAAGAAATACGAAAAAGAGTATTTGAGATGGCCAATTATGTCAACATGGTATGATATATTTTGTTAAATATAATTTTTAAAATTATTTATATGTTTATTATGCTGTTGTTATTGAGAATATACACAACAGAACCATACATCCATTCAAGTTTTTGCATGTACAAGTCAGTGACAGAGATGGCATTTTTTGAGTCTCCAACCATGCCCCTCCTCCTTCTCTGAGTGAGTCCTCTCCCAATAACATAAGCTCACTACTCTCAGGTTCTCATCTAATCTTTCTAGTTGCTCAATTTCACTCCATGTAGACAGACATTGAAAGAGCTTAGTGTTCAAGGCAAACATTCCTAATAATTAAGCTTTGGTTTTAAGATTTCAGGCAATGATGTTGGTTTAAGTTTAAAGATGACTTAAGTCAATAGTTTGAGGAAGTTTATTCAGCCCCGGTGGCTCTGCAATATTCAAATTCATGAGAATTTGAAATTATGTTCTACATTTCCCCCTCCCCACTTTGATCAGGATTGTACTATAGAATTCTTTAATGAAAATGTTCAATAATGGCAGCCAGACACCATCCAGTTATGATCTCAACTGGCAAAGATGGTCCTTGTTCATGGAGGCAATCAGGATATGTTCCACTGTCTCCTATTCCTAACTCTCCTTCTTCCTCTAATGTTTACAGAAAATAGAAATCATTGTTGTCCCTTGGGTGGTCATTTGAAAGCTTTCAAGACTCCAGCTACTAGAGCAGAAGTATTTAATGTATTATTAGGCTAACCCACTGAGATGTTCTAAGAAATCATAACACTAAATAGTCAAGCATAAGAACCAATTCTTATGAGGTGTTTGTGTATAAGCAGCCTCAGCAACTACCATTTTATTAAATATAATTTTAACAATTTTCTGTGAGGTGACATTGAGCTTTTCTTTGAATAGTAGCAAAGCAGGCGAAGACTGTCTAGACCCAAAGACTGGCTCCTTTTGCTAGTCCATGGAATATTAACATCATATGTCAGACAACTTTTGTGTGTACATTTTTAGATCCACAATTATATTAAAACTCCTTTTAGTGTGTTTTGTTTTGTTTTGTTTTCCCTAAAGCTCAGTAAAAGTTTTAGAAAACAAATCTTAAAAGAAAGCTGATGAAAAGTAGAAAAAAAGAAAAAAAAATACCAATATTTAGCGCAGTACCATTTTTGTATGCATTTTCTCATTGGTATGCATTACCTCAGGTTTCTCAAGAGCAAATTGAGAAAGGTATTACTAAGCTGAGTTTGAAGTGTTACATCCTGAGATCCAAAGTGACTTATCTAATTAAGATCGATCAGATTCCAAAGCCCATTTGGATTATAAAACCGCTGATCTTCTATTCTTTAAACACAATTGTTTCATCTAATCTTTAAAATCTTTTAAAAATGGTTAATCTACCTCTGTTAATTCAATTTTAATTGTTAGCTTCTTATTCATTGAATATAGAGTTGGAATTCTATGTTTGAAATAGGTGAGTTATTTTGGGGCATTCTGAAAAGTCTTTAAGAATGTAATCAAAACAAAGGTGGATCCGATGATCTAAGTTGTATTTCGTCCTCTTATCACAAAGATTATATTAGTTCTTTAAAAGAGACTCTAGGAATGTTTCATATTTATTGAGGCCCTCCTTTGCACTTTGCATTTCTGAGTTATGAGGTTAAAGTGAGGAGCAAAAGTGACAAACATGCCATCCATCAAGGAATTTACTTTCTTATTCAAGAATAAAACATAACCAAATAAACTATAAAATAAGTAGTATGTCAGAAGTCAAGAAGGATAACAAACAGATATTTCATCATGAATACTAAGTTGTATAAGAAAAAGGCTCTCAAATAAGGTGATAATTGAGTAGAGAACAGAAGGAATGACATTTCATACTGGGAGGAAGAATGTGTGAAGGGAAGGGAGTGTCAGAATAAAGACACTGAGGGGAGGGTCTTATTTGACCAAAGAGGTTCAGCATGGCAGAGAGGCATTGATGCAGGATGAGGCTAGTGAGAGGTAACATCTGAGCGGCAGTGTTGGCCAGCTCGCGAGGGCCTTTAGGGGTTTGAAACTGACTTACTAGCCAGGGAAGACGTTGGAGATCCTGACGTGGGTGTGATATAATCAGATGTAGGTCCTTGGAAGGTTGTCTTGCCCATCCAGGTGGAAAGCAACGGAAGGAAGGCAAGGGCAGGAGAAATGAAACCAGTAGGAAAAGCATGCCGTGATTCGGGGCAAGATATCGTGATGGCTTTGGGGCAAAAGTGGTGATCATGACTTTGATGAGAAAAACCGAGCTCTGGATAGTCAACTGGGCTCATGGGCACAGGGCGCAAGAAGTTCAGGAAGAAGAAGGGTCAAAAATTACATCAAGGATTATGGCCTGAGAAATTTAAAAAGTTGGAAAGAATGGTTTAGGAACATGCCTGCTAAGAAAGAATGTGGTTTCTGTTCTGTGTACATGAAGTTTGAGATATCTTTTAACCATCTGAGTAGAAATGCTGAGTGAGCATTTGGATATACAAAATCAGAGTTCTGGAAGGGGATATTAATGTCTAAATTCTCAACTTATTTAGATAATGTGAGATAGCAGTCTTCAAGATATAGCCTGTCACCAAATTCCAGCCTGCTGCTCTTAAAAATTCAATTTAAAAAACACAGCCATGCCTATTTGTTTACATATTATTTATGACTGTTTTTCTACTGCAGTGGATGAAGTAAGAAGTGTGGCAGAGAATGTTTGTCCCACAATGTCTAAAATATTTACTTTCTGGCCCTGTACAGATTAGGTTTGTTTATCCCTGTGTATGGAATTTGATAAATAAGATAGAGATCAAAACCCTGGGGTCCTTCTTTGAAAGCAGGTCAGAGTGGAGGAGAAACTGCCAAAGAGACCCACCATGAAAGAGTACACCATGAGGTAGCCCGCGAGGAGAGAGTGCTGGTCTAGAAATTGCTTGAAACAAAAACATTTAAAACCGCAAAAACTCTCAAGCGGAGAGAATAACAAATAATATTAAATGCTGCTGTAGATTGAGACATGGTCACACTGGGTTTAATAAAGTATGCATAATTAATTGGCTACCTTGCCAAACCCAGTTTTATGGAGTATAAGACTTACTAGTACAATTAGTGAATTCAAAAAGAGAACGGAAGAACAAAATTTTAAGATTCCCAAGGTTTTGTTATTAAGGGGACCAGAGAGATGAGACACAAATTAGAGGAGAAAGTGACATTGAGATGTTGATACCCTGCCCTTTTTATGCTGATGGGGACGGTTTGAAGGAAGAACATTCATGGATAGTGCAGGAAAGAGAAGGGACTTTCTGGAGTATAATCATTGGGTAGGGGAGAGAAGTGAGACCTACATTGACCTAATGCTGAAAGGCCATTAATCCATATACTAGTAACGAAAGGAGGTACAGAATGCTGGACAAGGGTAGGTAAGGGCAGGCTAAGTGGTGGGAGGTGGAAGAACTTCCATCCTCTAAGTCAGTGGTTCTCAACTTGTGGGTCGTGACCCCTTTGGGGGTCAATTGACCCTTTCACAGGGGTAGCCTAAGATCATTAAAAGACACTTATTTTCAATGGTCTTAGGATCCGAGACACTGCTCCTTTATCCGTCTCCAGGTGGGTCCACCCACATGCAGATATGCCCACATATGCATACCAAGCGTGACATCATCGTGCCAACACCATCACATACACCTCATACAAATACAGGTGTATGTGACAGGGTTGGTGCCATAATGTATTTATGCGGACCAGTCACACATGTGTAGAGAGCAGCTACTGTGTAGAAAGCAGCTGCTGTGTTGAAAGAAGCAATACTGGCCGTAAAATGACACTTCATGAATTATAATTACATATTGTTTTGTGATTAATCACTATACTTTAATTATGTTCAATTTATAACAATGAAAATACATCCTGCATAGCAGATATTTATATTACAATTCATAGCAATAGCAAAATTACAATTATGAAGTAGAAACGAAAATATTTTTATGGTTGGGTGTCACCACAACATGAGGAACTGCATTAAAGAGTGGCGACATTAAGGAGATTGAGAACCACTGGTCTAAGTGACTGGGTGACAGCGCTATCTGCTGAAAGCAATGGAATTCCCAAGAGGAGTTGGTATGAAAATTCCCAGAAGCCTGTGAGATTGAATAGATTTTGAAAATTCCCTGGTTTGCTGGGAAAATATAAGAACGCCTTGATGTGAGAAATCATGGCTTAAATGAAAGCAGTCAGTTGTGTTTTCCTTAGTTGTCTTCTCAAGTAGTGGAGGAGAGACAGGGAAGAACTGGATTTAACCACGGTTGGATATAGAAAGATGCCTTGTCAAATAACCTGAGAGAAGGAAGGAATGACTGAGGAAAGGCTTATAATCTGGTTGGACTTTTGCATCTCTTTTGATAACAATTGCATTCTTAAATATTGTCATTTTTTAAAATTTAATTTCACCTCTTACAATTTAATTTCATCACATTTCTCAGAAATTTTTTTTTAATAAATAGAAGGCCCATTACTATGCAGTTCTGTAAATTATACTAGCAATTTAAGCATATATTTTTATCCCAAGCATATTATTAAGTAGCTTTAATTATTTGGGGGGGTTGGGTCCCTGTGCTATACAGCTTATTTGTCTTAGTTCTAGTTTAAGAAGTAGGGCTTTACTTATCTGCTTGTGATTCACAGATGTGAGACTTATTCATGTCATGATTGAACGGCTCCAAACCAGCACTGAGCCGGCTTTGCTAATTCTGAACTACAAGAACTTGAAGAACATTCAAGACCTATGAGGAAATATGCACAAAAGAAGCCATAGTAATGAGTTATTAACATAGAATAATCATTTCTTGAGGTTGCAAGAGGAAAAAATTGGTTTTGCTAGGACCATTGCTCCAAAACACAAGTTTAAAAACATGAAAACAATGTGACCTACCTTACGATGGGGATGGTTATATCTGCAAAGGAGATGATAGCCATATTTCACAACTATGTTTGGGAAGTACTCATAGTGCTATTAGAAGTGTCAAAAGATAAAGCATATGGCAAGTATTAAGAGACAACACCATGAATGTAAATGTTTGCTATACCACTTATCTCTCTGGACAGCTTTATAAAAAACTCAATACTCATGTGGCCTTAGTTGGTATGGAGATATGGACAGATGAAGACAAGATAAAGATAACTCCAAATGCAAGCTTCACCTTGGAAAATTTTTCTAAATGGAGGGGGAGTGTCCTCCCAAGAAGAAAACGCCATGATATTGCTCAGTTAATCACGTATGTATAGATTGTCTTCTTTGCACACTGCATGGTATTCATCACTGCAACGTTCCAAAGATATGGTAAAGAAAGTATATGTGAATATAAGGGAAGAGAAAGGAGTTTACACAGAGGATTAAAAGCACTCTGAAAAGCACTCACTTGACTTATATGTTGAATATGCCTGTATTCTCTCTCTCTCTTCTTTTTTTATAAGATCATTGTATTGGGGGCTCTTACACTCCTTGGAACAATCCATATATCAATTGTATCAAGCATATTTGTACATATGTTGCCATCATTATTTTCTAAACATTTACTTTCTATTTAAGTCCTTGGTATCAGCTCCTCTTTTTTCCCTCCCTCCCCCTCCCTCCCTCATGCCTCCTTGATAAATTATAAATTATTATTTTCATATTTTACACCAACTGCTTTCTCTTTCCCTACAGTTTTTTCTCTCCTGCGTTCCCCAGCTTTCCCCTACCCTCCTAGTATCTCGACTCTCATTTCTATTCCTGAGGGGTTTATCTGACCTGGATTCTGTGTTTCATGAGCTTTTATCTGTACCTGTGTACATGCTTCAGTCTAGCCCACAGTGAAAGGCAGGATTGGGGTCATGTTAGTGGAGGGTGAGGACGCCTCAAATAACCAAAGGAATATTGTGTGTTTCATCGGTGCTATACTGTACCCTGGTTGACTCATCGCTTCCTTGTGAGCCTTCTGTGAGGAGATGTCCCATTGTCTACAGATGGGTTTTGGGTCTTTGCTCCGAACCCCCTCATTCTCAATAATATGTTTTTTTGTTTGTTTTGAGTCTTTTGATGCCTGTTATCCGATCCTGTCAACACCTTATTATCTGATCCTGTCAACACCTCATGATCACACAGGCTGGTGTACTTCTTCCATGTGGGCTTCTCTCCTAGATGGCCAATTTTTAAGCTTCCAGACTTTAAGACCCCCAGATGCTATATATTGATAGCCTGGCACCATCAGCTTTTCACCACATTTGCTTGTGCACCCATTTTGTCTTCAGCGATTGTGTCGGGAGGGTGAGTATCACAGAATGCCAGGTTGTTAGAACAAAGTGCTCTTGCGTTGAGGCAGGGCTTGAGCAGAGACCCAAAGCCCATCCACTTCCTCAGTGTATTGCCATATAAAGATATGTACATAGGCCAATACCTCTATTTTTATGAGTTAATATGTTTATTATGTAAGTGTACACCTATGCTTATACCTCTATCCAGAGCTTTGCTTCCTAGATCTATCCTGTTTCCCATTTGCACCATCGTGCTCACCTGTCTTCTGCCTCTTAGTAATTTCTCTCAGCTAGATTACTGTTGCTCAACACGCCCAGGATCTCTATGTCCTCCTCATTGTTGATTTTAATTCTGTAGTTGTTCCCCTGTCTATGGTGTTGTTTGCTTACCTCTCCCTTCCCCCACCACCCCTCCCTCTAAGTCCCTCCAGAACTGCTGCTTCCATTGCTTTCTCCTCGAATTTGCTTCCATGCCTATCTTATATAGGTGGGCAAACCAACAATAATCTAGACAATACAAAAAGAAAAGACTGAATAAAAAGGGGGAAAGAAAGGAAGAAAAAAATATGTATATATAAAAAATAATAGTAACTAGCAACCCCCCCCCCCAAAAAACAAAAGTATGAATATTCCCAGGTCTGCCTGCTGACTTTTATGACTATTCCCCTACTGGTCCTGGGATTTCTGGGAACTGCCCCACATAGCCTGACATCAATATGGGGGGCTCCTAAGGAGCTTTATGGCTTTGCTTCGCTCCCATTGCTGATCTGTTCTGTTCTGTTCTTGGTTCACTCCCCTGTGGGGGGTTCAGATTGGACTCATTCCCTGCCGTGTGTCCCCAGAATTGTTCTCTATTGCAATACCATTCAGTGAGGGGACACCCTGTCTCGAGCTGTTTTCATCCGTACAGTCCTCTCTGTGCCTTAGGAGCTCCGTGTAGGGATGTCATCTTTTGGGGCTTGGTGTGCCGATGTGGGGTCTAGACCCTCACTCTCTCTTTTTCCTTCTTGGTTTCCTTTCGTGTGGGCATGGCATGCCGACCCCTCTCCCCAACCTGTAGGCTTAGTGTTGTCCTCTGTAGCACATACTTCTAGGAAGGGGATCAGTTTGGCTCTGATTGTGGATGGCTCTGTAGTCCACTCTGTTCATGGGTTACATTGCCCTCAAGGTTCGGTGTGCTGTGGTGGGGTCTGCATGAACACTCCCTATTCCGTGGAGACATAATCAATACTCTCCCCCTGGGTCAGAGTACCATAATCTCCTCCTATCCCCACCTTTTCTCCCTCCTCCTTCCCCCTTTCCC